TTAATTTTCACAGAAAAAAAAATAACCATCCTCGGTTCTACTATTAAGTGCATTGAAATGATTTGGGTAGAGAAATCACAAAGTGCCTTGCTTTGGAAAAAATACAAAAATATTCCACCTATTTCACACACAACCCACATCTTTTATGCCAAGTAGTATTCACTAAAGGACTTCATTCAGAGAAAGGGTGAAATAGGGAAAAATCAGTTGTATGTAGAAAGCTTTATACGATGTGTGCTGAAAGATAGAGTGCCGACAAAACCACCTCACTGCATTTTCTTTGTGCCTCTTTATTTATTTGATTTGATTTTTTTTTGACCTATACATAATCTATTCAACTGTTTTGAAGATGAAACGACTCCAGCCTGGAAAGTGTTACATCCATCTTCTATTATCTGATCGTAAAAAAACCCTCTAATGCAGGTGCTATTTTCTCTACATTTGGTTTCCTCTTAGGAATCCAAATTATTTGCCCAGAAGGGATGGGAGTATGTATGTATGTATGTATGTATGTATGTATGTATGTATGTAAAAAAACAGCATCTAAGTAGCATACAGATAGGAAAAATGATAAAATTGGACCTCCTGTAAAAGGGCACGGCTGCCAGGCTGATTGATTAGAATCACTAGACTGTAATAGGCTGTTGCAGGTCTAACTCTAAGAATGAGGGGAGGGGGGAGAATTGCAAAGGAACAATGGTGGGAAATGACTGGCAATCTATAATGGTCTGTGGCCATTATAAATGATTGACTGATTGACAATGGCAATTCTTGTCTCCCATTTTGTCAGTATTGCGTTAAAAGAATGATCATTTCTTACAGCCCCAATAAAGATCTTTAATGCCTATGACTTTTACTGAATTAATTCTAAAGTAGTGGAGGAATATACAGTAAGCTTTTTTGACCACTGTGCCCTGTATGTTTAATTTTCTTTCTTCAAAATCAACATAAACATTGAGATTTCAGAATAAAAAAAGATTAGCAGACCTCTCAATTGGTTCTTTAGTACATTTTAATGGCAACGGTTTTGCTAACATCATGGAGTCCGGTTTCCATTCAAGATATTATCTTCTTTCTGCTATATATGGCTCCACTTCATAGTTTGCAACGTTGCTATAAAATCTGACACAATGATAGCCAGAAAATGCTTTAGGTATTACTCTCAACGTATCCAAAATAAATGGAAGCAAATAATAACTCTTGCTCCCATTGCCCCAAAAACGGTATAGCTAATAAGATTTTGAAAGTCATTTAAAATAAAACAATTAATTAAAAACAATTTGAGTTTTTAAAACCATTAAATACATCAGGAGCATGAAATGACCTGCAGGAAAAGGAGGAAAACTGGATTAAAAAAGAACTAGAACAAGTTGAGGCCATATCACATTTATTTATTTAAAAAAGGGCAATTGAAGCAAACAGCAATGGCAGGAGATGAAGTTGTAGATCTTATGATAAATCACCATTGTCAAATCCATATGGATCCTATCCAAGAGTTCTCAGCTTGAATATGTAATTGATATAGGCACACATTTAATTGCTTTGTTGTTTACAAGGAATGGTAATGGTCCATAGTTTGGGAAATGCTAGTTTGTGACATTTACTTCTGCCCTTGCAGCCACCTTTCGCAGAACCTCTGCTGTATCTTCTAATTGAAATTAGGCCATTAGCCTGCTCTCCTGCTACAGATTTCCTGGCTGCTGAGACAGAACCTGTGTCAATACAGAGAGTCAGCCAAACCATACAAAAGGCAAGAAATAGGGTTGGCAGTGAGACAGTATCCTAGTACATCATCTGAGGGCAGCAGGTATAGAGCAGGCTAGAAACCAGGAGACTTAGGCTTGAAAGTTAATTGGGTTAGCTTTGGCCAATCACTCTCTCTTAGCCCAACCCACCTCACAGGATATTTGTGGAAGGAGGAGGAAGGAGTCTTAGATATATTCGCATTCAGAGTTTTTTGTAATATGCATGCATGCATACATACATACATACATACATACATACATACATACATACATACNTTTTTTTTTAAAAAAAAATTAAAGTTACATTTTAAACTGATTTCTTTACAATTATATTCATGCAGAAGTGGGAGTAGGCAGGGTTAGTATACATTATGGCATAGAGAGAGCTAGTTTTATCTAGTAATTAAGGCACCAAGCTAGAAAGCTTGCTATTGTGAGTTCAAGTCCGCCTTAGTCATGAAAGCTACTTGGGTGACCTTGGACCAGTTACACCTGCTCAATCTTCCCCACCTCAAGGGTTGTTGTTGCTGAAAAAATAGGAGGAGGAAGGTGTGTTGGATATGTTTGTCACATTGAGTTATTGGTAAAAATAATGAAGGTGGTATACAATAAATAAAGTAAAAAATAAAATAATAATATAAATAAATGGTCTACCACTGTTATTTCCAGCCTGTATTTGCCCTCTGCTGATCCTGAAAATCATTTGCATGGGAATCTACCAAGAATTCTAGGGTTCTGGGCTAGCCTAGGAAGTTTATAAAAAAACTCTGAAAGAAGGAAATTACCGGTATATACTATTTCCATGATTCTGCTAATAAAAATTTAGTACAAGTTTAACTCAACTTGAGGGATTCTTTACGGAGAATGTGGATGTGCAATCCTTCCTCATCTAAATCAGGTTCGGAGCAAATCCCTCTATCCTGGTGTTTCAATCTAGCTTGAGATGAAAAAATTGAAAGATGTATAGTTTTTGCCTATACCCATTTTTTTTCCTCTTGAAATACTTTGCATGTTTTGCTAGTAATGCTGAAGAATTTCAATAGTATGAATTCTGCCTTGATAGAGATGAAGCAAGGATGATCAGCTGAGAAAAGGGAAAGAGTTGCAAAAAAAGGCCAAATGGAAATTAAAATGGTCTTATCAGAGGTTGCTGAGATACATCAGTATCACTGATTTGTCCTCTACCAATATAGTATAAATTCTGAACATGAAAAATGTATTACTTGGTCAGTTACTGGTCTTTCTTCTCATGAACTATGGTTTCTATGTCTCAGAAGAAAAGATTGCTACATCTTTAAAGTGTTCTTTTATGTTAGAATCTGATGTTTGGAGTATTAATACAAAGGGGTAAAGCAATATTTAAGATTATAATGCCATTGAATAATGTCATTTAATAGTTCAATATGTACCGCTAGTTTGTGGTTCACTATGCTGTGCATTATGCATTATGTTTGTTGGCAAGTAGAATAGTTCAGCAAACCTTGGACTAGCTAATCAAGGGTTAGCAAATTATGCAAACAATCCTACACTAATAAAACATAAGAAACCAACATGAAAGCATCTCTTGCAAGAGAATCTTATACTCTTGAGACTTTTTGATAGTCTGTCATCTAATAAGGACTGATCCTGATCCTGCTTAGCTTTTTCAAAATCTAAATGATGCTTCCTCTTGCTGTGATTATGTATATATAGTATTTTAAGGGAATGTCTTGGATTTGAAGTGGCTTAATAATGCTAATGTGTCTGCTTCTAGTTTGTTGCTAAACCTTTCAAATACATTTCGAGGCTTCCCTCAAAACTACAACTCCCAGAATTCTTAGGTTAATAACATGAATTTCTCCGTCTTTCATTTTGAATCAGAAATAAACTGCATATTACACCAAAGGCATCCAGAATATATGGAAATCTTCTTAGGGAATGAAAAAGAAACAGTAGGGACTTAAACAGTTACGGCTGCAATCTTAGGCATCTAAAAAGGTTTTTCAAATGAATA